TGTGGTGTGAGTGAAAAGTGTGATGGGCCCTTTCATTGTCTGTGTGCCTGTGTGGCGTGAGTGAGAGCAGCCGCTGCTGTGTGTCTGTGTGCCGGCGTGTCTGCAGGGGCAGGGTGTGAGTGAGACGCCGCTGCTGTGTGAGTGAGAGGCAGCTGCTGCAAGATAAATGAGAAGTTTATGAGAAGGTTATGTTTGTTTAAATAATACACTGTCCTTGTATGTCTTGTGAAAACATTGTATGAGCCGGAGATGGGGAAGTGAATCCCTTCTCTGTCGGTTTGGGTTAGATTTGGTTGGATTATTTATGTAGAAAGAGTGAATGGTCGGCACAGAGAAATTATTTATCCCTACAAGAAGGATTGTACACAACTCCTTCTGGGCAACTAGTAGTACCAGACTGGATTCGTGAGAGAATCCCCTGCTTTCTCTGCGCTCCTCTGCTCCTACCTTTAGTAATTTTCATCAAGCCTGGGTATTAGCAGAGTGCGTTGTTGATATAAGTGGTATTGTCCGATACGAGGAGATCGAGGTATGCAGAGTATCGGGAATAATAATGGGAAATAAGCAGGGAAAAATTGTAAAGAAAAGCCCATTGGAATGCATACTCACTCACTGGAAAGATATAGCGGGGAGAGAAAGCACGGAAAGCAAGAAAATCCTGATTAAATATTGTAATCCGTGGTGGCCACTTTACAAACTAGAAGCAGCAGCAGCTAAATGGCCACTAAATGGGACCTTAGACTATAACACTCTTTTGCAATTAATGTTATTTTCGCAGAGGGAAGGGAAGTAGGATGAGGTGTCTTACACAGACATGTTCTTTACCCTCCGAAATCACCCGGGGCGGCAGAGGGACTGTGGACTAGTTCCACCATAAGATCCTTTAGTGCTTGCCCTGGAAAAGATTATAAGGGAGCTACTAGCTACTATTTTTACAAACCTTTGAAATATAAACTGTGAAAGCAGTTAGGCATACATAATTTCTGTATATGCCTTACTCCACAAAAGAGCTCCTAGAAGACACTTACTAGAACAATTAGGAGCAACTATTACCTTTAGCAATGGAGAGATTACTCTAGAGATAAATAACCAAGAATTTATACAAATTATGAGCTTGTCCCTAACTAGTATCCCCACAGGAGGAGAAATCAGTGAGGAAAGTATCAATCAAGTGTATCCCGGAGTGTGGGCCACTGACACACCTGGAAGGGCAAAGAATGCCTCACCTGTAGAGGTAAAACTTAAGGAAGGACAACAACTGGTAAGAATTAAGCAATACCCTTTAAAAGGAAAATCAGGAAGGGATCCAGCCAGATATAGAAAAAATTTTACAAATAGGATTAATAAATAGATCTCCACCCAGTGGTGGCAAACCCATACACTTTGTAAACAAAATTAACTCCTGAGCTAATCTGGTTTACTGTTTTAGACCTCAAGGATGCTTTCTTTTGCCTCTCTCCTTGAAGCCAGTCAGAAAATATATGCATTTGAATAGGAAAATCCTAGGAGTGGGCAGAAGACCCAGTTAACCTGGACGGTGCTGCCATAAGGATTTAAAACCGGCCCCACTACATTCGGTAACCAGTTAGCAAGAGACCTTGAAACCCCAACTCCACCTGAAGAGGGAAAGCTGCTGCAGTATGTAGACGATGTCCTAATTACCACCAAGACAAAAGATTATGGCCCAGCAAGGTCTGCTCTGTTGTGACTTATTAGAACTAGAAAAGCTATCTAGAGTGTTGCAAACATGTTGGTGAGGGTGATGAGAAATGCTTTTTAAAAGCCTGGTAGCGCGTATTTAAAATGTTGTACCTGCTGCTAGGTATTGCTCAAGTATCCTTTGAAACATACGTCATGCCCCATCTCAACTCTACGCTGAAAGATGAGAGGAACTAGCAACATTTTTCAACCCTCTTTGAGCTCTCAAGAGACCTGAAAAGCAATAAGTGGTATACAGCGACTGAAAGTACATGCCCCTTGCCAACACCAAAAAGCATTGTGGAATGTAAGGGGGCAATTAACTGCTTTTCTCCCAAATAGACACACATTTTAGCAAACAGCTTGTGAGTACAGCTAAGAGACACTAACCGAAAGGAAGAAATGGCGCTTTTTTGCCACATACTTTCATGGGTGCACATCTATCCAGTCTCCACCTTTCAAATGAGGGAATGAGGAGACCTACCTATTTTACAGAGCAGTTGTAAAGACTGATCAGCAATTATAACGGTCTCCAAGTTGTTCAACTGGCAGGCATTACAGGCACGTAAAAGAAAGTGTCAGGGAGAGTACAGGATGGAGGTACAACAGGATGTGAGTTATCCAAGTGGAAGAAATAATTCACCGTCATGTGATAGAAATTGTTAAATAAAAAAGACACTGCCTTTCCTGTGTAGGGTCCCAAGCAGAAGCTTTGAAGGGGGTTGTGGAGGTTTGAACTCAGTCGGCAGACAGATGCCACGTGGCTGGCCGTTCATCTGCCGCCCCTCTGGTGAAATAAGGGAGGGACAACAAGAAGAGAATTTGTAGGTTGAATAAAAAGAAAGAATTTACTAAATATAACAAGAGAACAACAGTAACAATAGTGAGTCCAAAAAAGAAACTGGTAAAATGCAGCAGTGCCTTACCGAGGGCAGCGACTGCCCCCACAGCAACACACACTGGGGCAGGACCCGAAAATCGCATGTGCCCCCAAGCTCTCTCCAACCCCCCTATATCCCCTGGGCATGACATCACTTAGTATGAAATACTCCAGTGGAAGTCAACTCCATCCTGGTCGAAACCAGGACAAAGGGGCAAAACTTACAGGTGCTGGCACGCCCATGCCTGAAGCATGAGGAAGAAGTTTGGGGGGCTGAAATGGTTGCCTTCAGGGAGCACCCTGATACAGTGGGCACCTCAGAGAGCTGGGATATGGAGGATTGATGGGATTCATTGCACCTGTCTGCCAGTCCTGTAGTAATGATGTGTTCAGGGGGCAGCATGGCATGAAAGACTCTGAAAGCAGCAACAGCATCAAAGCATTACAGAAAAGACAAGCATCAGAGGACATGTGGGTGGAAATCACGGCCCAGCAATACCGAAGTCTTTGTCAGGTTGCACCACTGACCTCCTTGGTCAGGAAGGAGAGAGAGTGATTGAGAACTGGGAAAGAGGATTCCCCAAGCTGCAAGCTGTGGGCAGGTAGTAACAGGGGGATTCTTACCACTGCGTCAAGGACTTCTGAAGAAGGAAGTGCAGAGAGAACATCTCTGGGCGCAATAAGTGACAGCTGCCTGAGACAACTGGTCCGAGAGCCCCCAGGAGAAGAGGCCGTACAGGATTTGGTCTGGAGTGGTGCATTACGTGCATGTAAATGCAAGAGGCTTTATCACAATTACAAGGTCTTGTCTCTGACAAGCATACGACTCAGTTCAATGGCACAGCAGGGAGGACAGCCCAGAAAAACATCACATTCACCCATTCTGGCATTCCGCTTCAAGAAAGGGGAGAGGAAAGGCGGAGATCAGACTGGGTGCTGTCGAAAGGCATCTAAAGAAGAATGCGATCAGCACTGCCCTGTCTCTAGATCAACGGCCCCTGTCCTCATGGGTGATTTTAACTTCCCAGACATCAACTGAGAACATCACACAGCCGACTCCAGCAGGTCTGGGAAGGCACATTCTCTAATGCCACAGGCCCACTATGGGCTGCTCAAGATCCGCTCCAAGACCCAGGACTCCTGGGATTTTTCGTAGTCACCTGCACAATGTTGATGCGGAGCCGGCCAACAAGGAGTGGCTCTGGACTTGCTCTGTAAGAGGACAGCGAGGCCCATTTATACATGCTGCTTGGAGGTCCTGGGAGCTTAATCAGAACTCTAATATTGTTATGGCTGCGTAGACTTTTGCATAGTACTCTCTGGCTAAGAATGAGAAGGCACACTTAGGTGTGTTTTAAGGATACTGAAACGTAAGAAGAAATACACTTACCTTGTGTCTGGCAGCATGATTGTTTCCCAGCTTTCTGTGATACTGCTGGAGTAGGTTGCAGGCACCATAGGGCAAATAATGGATTTTACAGTTCAGTCTTTCAACCAAAAATGGTTTTAAAAATTAACAGGGTGGGAAGAAAAATGTTAACTGTGGTATCTGATCTCAGATTGAGATTTTTTTTCCAAAAACATCTCATTTCTCCTTCAAAAGCCTGATAACATTAATTTCTAAATATTCTTGACATTCCATACTTCTCTTCTTTCCTACACTGTAATATAACTTTTGAATAGCAATTTTAACCACTCTGAAACTGCAGTTTTAGTGTTTTTCCTGGTGGTGAATATTTATCAGTTCTAAATTACAGAACAGAGAGTTCCGAAAGTGAAATATACTTCATGTAAATGTATTCTTTCTCATTGGTCTTTTGGTATCACCCGCAACAGGGGAAACATATAGACAGTCTTTGCTGCTTTATTTTTGAGAAACTGTTAGAAATTATTCCTATCTTCATTGTATCCACAATTTGCTTAGTGCGGTTTGCTAAAAGAGAAGGATTTTTTGTACATTTCAGTAGCTAGGTGAAAGCAGAATCTTGTAAGGTTCTTCAGGAGTTGTTTTAATTAAAAATGTCATGTTTAAAAAATAGAGGAATGTTCAGGGCTCCATCTAGTAACTAGGGTGTGGGGGGTTTCACAGTGAACCTAGAAGCCAATAAATACCGTCTGAAATACTGAACCATCTCTTCCTTATCACTGTTGCCAATTAGGATTTTGGGTTTTGTTTGGCTATTTGCTTTCTTTTTTTTTTTTTTCTCCCCTAAATCACTTTGTTGATTCATGAACTTAACAATCTTCTTTTGTCCTTCTGTCTGATTGTTGAAGGTTAAACTTTTAGAACAATACATCAATATTATTCTTAGGTCAAGAAAGATGTTTTTGTCTATCTTCAAGCTGAAGCCATCCCTAATCAGAAGAACAAGTCGAAAGCTGCTTTTGAGCAATGACATCCCAGAGCCATTAGACACTGTCAGCAGCTGTTGGGCACGAACAGCATGAGAAAGGGGGAAGCCCAGGGGGTTATTCAGCCTGTTCCTTGGCAGGTCGCTCCCTTCCACTGCGGGCTCTTCACTGCCTCCAGAGATGCCCGAAACTGAGCACTGCGCAGAGATACGCAAACGCCCCGGCACAGGCACAGACACCTCCCGCAGGACAAACATCTCCCCAACTTGGAGAGGTTCCTGCTGTGTCACCCTTCGTGGGGTGCAGAGACAAGTGCTGGAGGGGCAAGTTTACAGCTCGCCCCAGCCCTTGGATTGCCCAGTCGGGTTCCCATCGGACCTGGGGCAAAAGCAGCTTCCTCTCCTGCCCGCTCTGCCCTCGGCATCTGCTGCACAGCAGGTGGGTGGCTGCAGCAGGATTTTCTGCAGGAGGAGGCACCACATGGGCCTGGGGCTCCGGGGGCCCATGGCCGTGCCCCCCAGCAGGTGAGAGCCGCCATGGTGGGACACGGGGGAGAGGAAGCAGCACTGGGAGAAGGGGGAGAAAGCAGCACCCAGAGACGGGGTCAGAGAAATAGCAATTCATTGATTGAATAAAGACTTGCTGCAGCCCTGCTAGTGCTGCTGGCGGTGCGGCCTCTTGCAGGGCTGGGGAGAGTTCTGGGGGCTGGGGGCCTTCCTCTTCGGGGGGCACCAGGACTTCCCAGTTGAGCCGTCTCTGCTGCAGCCTGGAGTGGAGGGGCTGCGGTTGCAGCCCTGGGCAGAGGGACCTGCCACCTCCGCCTGCCCCGGCTCCTCCTCAGGATGCTCCTGCTCTGCCAGGACAGGAGCACATAGGGGGCAGCCAGGATCCCCACAGAGGGTGGCCTCCGAGGTGCCGGCATCTTCCTCCTCCCTGTTGAAGATTTCAGGGCTGGTGGAAGAGGGCAGGTCGAGGATGGAAGTCATGAACCACGAGCAGGTAGGGCTGGAGCTGGTAGAGCTGGAGCTGGTAGGTCTGGAGTTGTTGGATCGGGAGCCAGCCACAGAGCTGTCGTCCTCCTCCTCCTGCACAGCACGGGAAAACAGCTGCCTCCAGGCCTGCTGGCTGCACTGGTCCTCAATGATATTGATGACGCTATGGACCAGAGGTGCTGCGTCTTCCCCAAGGTCAGGCTGCAGCACCTGCACCAAGGCCTCTGCAACTGGGCCGCTGTCGCACAGGGTGTGCAGGACGTTGGCCTCTGCACGACATGCCTGCCACCAGCGGGGCCCACATATTGACCACAGCTCCTGATGCAGCCAGGGCAACAAGGGATTGAGGAGATGACGTTTTGCTTGGATAAGGTCTGCCCAGACCTCGGGCGGGATGCCACCCACTGGCTGTGCCACTGGCCTTGCAGTCCCCTGCTCATCTGGGGACAGTGTCTGCTCTGGAGATGGGGGGGGAGCCACCACAGGGTCATGGGGGCTGCTGGGAGCTGTGCCTGCCTGGCTGCTGGCATCTGGCGACTCTTCTGGGTGCAAACACCCTACACAGTAATTTGGTCCCTGTATTGGAATCTGGATAATCTCTACTGGTCCTCTGCAGAGTGGGCACTCTCCCTTCAGATCTAACCATCGCCTGATGCAGAGCAGGCAGAACTGATGGCGACATGGCATCGCAAAAGCAACATCACATGGGGCGTCACGGCAGATGGGGCATATCTGCTCTGTCTCCGTTGCCATGTTCACACGCTGCAGAAGGTTGGGGAGAGCTGAGGATGAGGAGCTGCTCCCACTCACTGATGCTGGACTGCCAAAGGGCGTCACGTGCTGCAAAAGTGAGAGACACCCCGGTCACTAGCTGTACTAGGGAGGAAGAAATGCCCAGGCCCCTCACGAAGGACACCCTCTGGCTCCCGGAGCCCTTTAACCTGCCCCACAGCCGCACCGGGACGCTTCCCCGCACAGCTCACCCCTGCTGCCACAAGTGAGCACGGTGATGCCCGGCTGCCTGACCCAGGCAGGGCCGAGGAAACCCAGGGGATGGCTCTGGGACGGGCACTGAGAGCTGCTGACAGCAGCCCCCAAAGCACCACGAGCACCAGGAGCAGCCTCGCTCGACACTCAAAACCTCGCAGGCATGCTCGGCAGGTGTCCAGGCATGAGCCAGACTGGGCACGGCTCTGCCGGCACCCGAACATAAGCACTAGGGATGTGACGTCACAGACCATCGCTCACTGATGTCACAGCCCACCGCGCAGTGATGTCACAATGCGCCTTCCGACCCTGCATCTGGAGAGAAAAGAAAATACTGTTTCTTCTTGCCACCTCTGACTTGTCACCTGCACACATAGCTGTCACCCGCCACACGCACCCCTGACCGTGTGTCTCGTCCCCACTCCTGACGCCTTGCAGAGGTCTCCTGCGAGGGGAGCGTGGTGGGACCAGGCAGCGCGGCCTACCCGCAGCTGGGTGACGCCTCCCACAGCTGGCTGCCTTTCCCTGGGCAATGCTGGGATTTGCAGGGAGAACCTGGGTGGTCAGTGGCCAGCCCAGAGTGAGAGTCACCCACCCTGCTGGGTCGTGCTCCCCGCTGGCAGGGAGAAGCCTCAGGGGGCATTTTGCTGCAGCCCCATCCACTCCCGCTGGTGCTCACCCACAGTGCCGGGTCCCTCTCCGCTTACCAGACGTGCTGGTGCTCCTGGCCAACTTGTTACCGAAAATCCGGAATAGGAACTTATCGACACCAATGTGATGCAGATAAGCAGACGCTTCTTTATTGATGGCCGGGTGTGCGGGGGAGTGCTCTTGTGGAGAAATTTTTGGAAGATAACGGCCACCTGGTCCTTGATACCGACATGAGTAATTCTCTGCTAGCTGCCTCTGTGTAAAGAACTACCGTTCAATGTTCCTCTCTGGCTTGCCACTGCATAGAGGGCTATTGCTTAGCAAATTCCTTAACTAGAGATACGGAGTGAAGTTGAGACATCAAGTAGGAGGGCCATCGGCTGGTGCTTTTCGCGTGTGCTTCTTGCGTTGTACCAATGAAATATGAGTTATATTGTGTGGACAGTAGCTTGGAACCAATCACAGCTCGTTTAGCTGTATGTGATCACTCCCTAATCGTATATAAGATGCTCTGTACTTAATAAAACCGGATCAAGCTGGCAAACCATATTGGTGTTATTCTTGATACCCGGGCTTTTTCCGTCAACATGCTCTTACCAACAATGCACACCAGTCACAAGATTCATACAGTTTATATATTATCAAATCCTACATATTCATGAGGTATTCATACATAAACACAAGAATTCCTGGAAATCATTTTCGTACTTCCCTCCTTCTTCCGATTCTGCGCACTAAAGCTTAGAAATCTCTAGAAATGAGTCTGGGGTGTAATTTGGGTTGGTGGCCCATGAGTCGGTGGTCGTGATCTCCCCCTGCCGGAATTACCTATTCCCTAGTTTCACTGTTCCTTGGCAGAGATCTGTAAACTGTTACAGTTCATTCTCCCCAGGTCTCATTAATTTCAGGTCGTGGCACATCTGAGACATTTTCCAATGTGTTCTAGGTAATCAATTACTTCTGTGTCTAGACATCTCTCCAACAACTTCCAACAGAATTATTTTCAATGATAAATCTAATTACCTAAGCAGTATCTAGGTGTACCTAGTAAATGATTACTGACCAATTCTTCGGCCTTGGTACAGGGCTATACAGAGGAATTCACAGAAGCATTGGTTTCTGGTTAGATGCGTAAAATGCAAGATAAATGTAAACATGTAAGCCTACTAAAAGCTCTCTCATAATTCTGTATTCATACTAGAATCAAACATTATTAACTCTGATCGGTGGCAAATCAGTGACACTGGCATTGCCAAATCCTGGAAAGCCTTTGGAACTGTTTGTCCATGAGAAGAAAGGAATAACCCTGGGGGTGTTGGCACAATTTCTCGGGTTCTTACGCCAGGCGGCTGCATCTTCTCTAAACAATTGGACACTGCAAGTCAAGGATGGCCAGGATGCCTGAGGGCAGTGGCAGCAACAGTGATGTTAATCCAAAAGGCCTGGAAGTTCACCCTACGGCAGCAAATAACAGTCTATGTATCTGACACGGTAGTCACAGTTTTGGAACAAAAGGGAAATCATTGGCTGTCTCTGGGCCAAATGCTCAAATATCAGGCCGTCTTGTTAGATCAAGATGACGCTAAATGAAAGACAATGGCCGTACCGAATCCTGCAACTTTCTTGTCTGACGAGCAAAATGAGAGGGAGGCCTTAGAGCATGACTGTCTATGAACAACTGAGGAAGTGTGTGCCAGCAGGACAGATTTGAAGGATACACCTTTACTAAACCCTGATTTGGAACTATATACAGATGGAAGCGGTTTTGTTATGAAGGGACAACGTGTGTCCGGATACGTGGTGACTACTGTGACTGATGATGTGGAAGCCAAATCATTGCCACCGAATGTATCCGCTCAAAAAGGCTGAATTAATTGCCTTGACTAACTGAACGTTAGAATTAAGCAGAGAGAAGAAGGTGAACATTTGGACTGATTCAAAAGACGTGTTTGGAGTACTTCATGCCCATGGGGCTATATGGAAAGAATGAGGACTCTTAACCTCACAGGGAACTACAATCAAACACAAGGAAGAAGTCTTAAAACTTCTTGAAAGCGTACAATTGCCTACTGAACTTGCTGTGATGTATTGTAAGGCCCATCGAGCAGGAGACAGTGAACAACAGCGGACGAATAGATTGGCTGATGAGGCTGCTAAACGGGCTGCACAAAAAAGCATGCTAACAGAGGTTCAGGTGTTAGTTCCAGAACGTCAGTTAAATTTACCTGAACAGCTGAACTATGACAAACAAAATTTAAAATTAATCGCCTATAAATGTCTATCCACACGAGCCAGGATGCCAGCAGGAAGCTCCCCACCTTTCATGAGCTTTGAGGCTGCCACTCTTGAAGCCACGGCCTCCAGGGACCCAGCCCTGCTCAGCAAATGCAACGCACGGAGCTGACCCCTGCTTTTCTCCCGTGACTGCCCTGCACTCCAGCATGTGAGCACGGCCCCACCGTACAGCTGCAGAAGGCAGACTGACGAGCTGTGGCCAGTACAGGACGTGCCAAAGCCACGGAGAATGGCACGTGGGGCGGAGAGCAGGAGCAGCCTTCTCTGTTGAGGGCTTGCACTTGCATGCCCTTGGCCACACGTACCAGGTGCCACAACCGGCCTTGTCGGCGCTGGCCCAGAACAGCAAGAGAACTCAGACACAGCAAGGACAGGAAGCCTGACAGAGGGTGTCGCTGGGGCTGACATGGCCCCTGTGGACAGTGCTGCGTCTGCGCTGCACGGCGCTTTGTGCGGGAGGGCTGACACTACTTGGGGCTGCTTGGTTTATTGTGCTCGCACAGCCCTGCTTGCCTGCCGCGGCTGTAAGCAGATCGGCTCTGCGACACCCAAAGGCACATACTGCCTGTAGTAGTTACGTTCTCTGGCGTACGTTTCTTGGGAAGGACCTAGTGGCGAAGGGCTGCCACTAGTCAGTATGTGGAGAGCAGGGTGGCCGTGAACTTCCCAAAGAGGCTGTGGTGCCACACGGGTTTTTTTCCTGCTAGCCATTAGCAGGCTGTGCTCAGAGCCGGGCACTGCTGCCTGTCCCGGGTCCTGCACACCCTCTTCCCACACGCAGAGCATTTGGCGGGGGTGTGTTGGGGGCGTCCGATCCCAGCTTCTGCTTCCCCTCCTGCTTGGAAACCCCCATGTTGTGTCCCCCCCCCAAGAGGCACCTGGAACCAGCGACTCTGTGACATCAGCCTCGTTGCCAAGGGCATCGTGGGCAACGTGAGCCCTGCGGGCACTCTGTCAGCTGCTGCACTGGTGGCAGAGAGCCCTCGGTTCTGGCAGCTGGCACATGCCGCTGGCAACCATGCGTTTGCTCCCACTCCTCATCCTGCTGGCCCTGTGCTGGCCTGCGCACGGCGCGTGGGACACCTGTGGGTAAGTAACTCTGGGAGGGAGCTTGGGCAACCTGATGGGGTTCCCTGGATGGTGCCCACTTGTCCCCCGTGGCCACACCACGGCTTCCCCAGCCCCATGTGGGAGCCTCGGTTCCTTGCAGCACCTGGGCTGCTGGCACAACTCGTCTGCAGGGCTAAAGCAGAAACGGGGGCGGATGCCTGCCCACCCCACGGGGCTCCCTGGCCTCGCTGTCCATGCAGCGCCTGGTGGGGAGGGCAGATGGCTGACCTTCAGCCGGAACAGCAGCGACCCATCGAGCAGGACACTAATGAGTTTCTGGTTACAGAGGGACCTGCGGGCTCCGGCCCATGGCTGCTGGCTATGGCACCTCGCGTGTGGTGGGTGGCACAGACGCCCAGCCAGGGGCCTGGCCCTGGATGGTCAGCATCCAGGTTCCCTGGGCAGCAGGCACGGGGCATATCTGCGGAGGATCCCTCATCAGCCCACAGTGGGTCCTCACAGCAGCCCACTGCTTCACCAAGGCCAGGTAAGGAGGGCCAGGAACGGGGATATCCCCTGGCACTCGCAGGTGCCCCATCCACAGCACCACGTGCTACCCCCGTCCCCTTTCCGTGTGGTACACCCAGTGCCTGGGCACTGCAGAGCCCGGCTGAGGGGCAGCTCAGGCTGGGCTCCTGCCACGGCTTCCTAGTAGCCACCATCTCGACATGCCTTGAGCCCAAGGCATGCTAGGGCACTTGCAGCCTCCGTAGCGCTGCTTTCCTCTCTCCCGTGTGAAGAAGAGGGCGGGGAACTGCTGGGCTGCTGCAGCATGTGGCTGGACTCCCTCTGAGCCCTCTCCCCATCTGCTTTCCAGGCACGTCACCACGTGGCGCGTAGTGATCGGGGCCACCCAGTTGACTCAGCTGGGCCCGGAGGCCCAGGTGCGCAACATTAAGCGGCTGCTGGTTCACGAACACTACAGCAGCATCTCGGAGAGCAACGACATTGCGCTGCTGGAATTGGACCGGCCTGTCCAGTGCAGCGACTCTGTACAGCTTGCCTGCGTGCCCGACGCCTCGCTGCGAGTGTCCCAGCTGACAACCTGCTACGTCAGCGGCTGGGGGTCCACGACTGCAAGATGTGAGTTCCCAGAGACTGCTTGTGTTCTGAGTGCAAGCTTGGCACTCTGGGGAGATGGGGTGGGCTTCCTGACGGCAGAGGCGAGAGCCAGAGTCTGGCTGCGGGGACGTGTGCCCATAGAGAGATGGGCCTGGCCCAGGGCCCAAGGCGAGACAGAAGGGAAACGCCCCTACAGTGTCTCTCACAAGGCAAAGCCAAGCCCCGGGGAAGGGACTCACTCAGACAGGGCAGGAGACCTGGCAATGAGCTGCTGGGCGTTAATTCCTTTTCTGTGCTCACAGCTGGAGGATCAACTGATGTCCTGCAGGAGGCCAAGGTCCACCTCATCAATGTCAGGCTCTGCAACAGCAGCCGGTGGTACGGAGGAGCCATCCACACCCACAACCTGTGTGCCGGCTATCCGCAGGGCGGCATCGACACCTGCCAGGTAGGAGCCTGCGACAAGGCAGCGCCCAGCGGCACAGGCAGCCCCGGCACAGCCGCCCAAACACACCCCGGCGCAGGCTTGGCCTGGCAAGCCACCCTCCCACCGCTGGGTCCCCACCGCTGGCGGGGCTCACCTCCCCTTCCCCAGCTGCAGGTCCTTGCCCAGGGCCCCACTTGGCCCAGAGGCCCGGGACTCTGCCCAGAAAGCCCATCCCGCGCTCCTGGCAGCCTGCAGGTCCAGATCCCAATCCCCAAACATCCCTCCTGCACGCATCCAGCATCACTGTGCGGAGAGGAGAGAGAGCCCTCCCCCACAGGCGTACTACCCTCTCCCTGACAAGGTTCTGTAGGCCCCAGCACCTGAGCAGAGCCTCTCTGTGCAGCGGATACAGCCCTGGCAGGTGCTGTGAGAGAGAAGGAGCCGGGCCTGGTGCTGCCAGCGGCCACCCGACATCGCCTTAATCCTCCCTCTCTCCTCTGCTCCAGGGTGACAGCGGTGGGCCTCTTGTGTGCAAAGATAACAACGCTGACTACTTCTGGCTTGTTGGAGTGACCAGCTGGGGGACAGGCTGTGCAAGAGCAAGACAGCCTGGAGTCTACACCTCCACCCAGCACTTTTACGACTGGATCTTGGAACAGATGGGACTGCGCCCAGCAGGAACGGCTGCTCCAACACCACGGCCAGTCTTCACCTCGACCCCCTTTCAGAGGCCAAGGCCCACACCGACGCAAGCGGGCAGCTTTACGCCCTGTCCGTTTGCACGCCAGAAGCTGCTGCAATTCTTTAAACTGCTGCAGGACTTCCTGCAGGTCCTAAGGGGGAAAAAGGCTCCCGCAGCAGCATGAACAGGACCCAGCTCAAGCTGCTGTGCGCCGCCACCATCTCCTGCTGGGGCGCTGCCTGCTGAGCCAAAGGCAGCCTCAGTGCCAAAGGCCTGTTTGCTCCTGCCCACGCACACAAATGCTGGAGTTGAGCCTTCAGGTTCTTGAAATAAAGTTGCCGGTTTTCACAGTTAACCATGCCTCAGTCCAATTCGGTCTCCTGTGCAACGCAAGGATTCCATGCCTGCCACCTGCACAACGAGGCTGCAGGCTGCCAAGTCGGGCAGTGAGGGAATGTGTCCCTCAGAACGGCTGCTCAGAGGGGAGGGGGAGGGTGCGGTGGGAAAAGGGGCCAAGAGGTCTTTGGGACAGAAGTTGATAACGCAAAGTGTCTTATGCTAGCTACTGCTGGGATCCCTGTCTCTTTGTGTGTGTGTGTGTGTGTGCGCACGCAACTTCAAACTGGACTCTGTCGTTACACAGGAGACACAGATGTGGAAAGACCGAAGGCTTGCACCTATCACAGAATTGTCTAGGTTGGAAAAGACCTTGAAGATCATCCAGTCCAACCTTTAACCTAGCACTGACTGTTCCAAACTACGCCATGTCCCTCAGCACCATGTCGACACGACTCATAAACCCCTCCAGGGATGGGGACTCCACCACCTCCCTGGGCAGCGCATTCCAACACCTAACACCCCTTCTGGAAAGAAATGCTTCCAGACATCTAGTCTAAACGTTCCCTGGCACAACCTAAGGCCATTCCCTCTTACCCTGTCACATATTACTTGGTTAAAGAGGCTCATCCCCAGGTCTCTGCACCCTCCTTTCAGGGAGCTGTAGAGGGCGATGAGGTCTCCCCTCAGCCTCCTCTTCTCCAGACTAAACCCCCCCAGTTCCCTCAGCCGCTCCTCGTACGACCTGTGCTCCAGACCCTGCACCAGCTCCGTTGCCCTTCTCTGGACACGCTCGAGTCTTTCAATGTCCTTTTTGTAGCGAGGGGCCCAAAACTGAACCCAGTCATCGAGGTGCAGCCTCACCAGTGCCGAGTACAGGGGTCAGATCCCTTCCCTGTCCCTGCTGGCCACGCTATTGCTGGCACAAGCCAGGATGCCATTGGCCTTCTTGGCCCCCTGGGCACACTGTTGGCTCCTGTTCAGCCAACTGTCAGTCATCACCCCCAGGTCCCTCTCTGACTGGCAGCTCTCCAGCCACTCCTCCCCAAGCCTGTAGCTCTGCTGGGGGTTGTTGTGGCCGAAATGACTGGGTAAGGAGCTTGACATCCAGGCACAGGTATTTACATGGACCTAATTTCCTTACTGTTAGTTGAGGAATCTCTGCATGTGCTGTGCTTGTGAATCTAGCGAGTGAATGTCTGTTTATGTTTCACTAGTAAGCATCCAATCCTGATCACCTGGAAAGGCAGAAAAAGACTGGCTTGTGCTCATGTTTATGTAAGCAGTGGTTACAAGTACATGGGTTCCTGTAAAGGCATCGCTCTAAGTTGATCTGTTTTGCTGTTCACAAAAACTGTGTAAGTCTGTGTGTGTGTTTGTGTACCCAGCTCCCTGGAATGCAGCATCAGTTACAGTGTTGTAACCAGTGTCCTCTGGTGTGCCTCAGCCTCACGGCTCAAAGGATGACTAGGACATGGTGCCTCATTCTGATCAGCAGTGCTGAAAGGATTTGTCTCTGGTGCCTCACGATGGGCTGTCTCGTGCTTGTACAGCAACCCGAGCTCTGCTCCGTGGGAGGAATCCAGAGCTGCCACAGCTGCAAACAAGCAATGCAATCACCCGTCCTACTCCAGACATGCTGCCTGACCATCACGCTTTGAAAACTGCTTACTTGAGGAGATCTATGGTGCCGCTGAATATGCTGGAAGCTGATTTTGGTTCTGTTGGGTCCAATTCCAAGGCAATTCTGTATTCAATTAAGTAAAGGGCAGCATCTAGGTACTGGAAGGCCCTTCCAGTCTTGTCGGTCTATTGGGAAGAAAATTCTCTGGTTCAGGCTAAGACAAAATCTACTTCTCTCAAGTGTACCTGAATTCCTTTATTCTGCCTAGATAGGCAGGAGTTGAAAAAAGATGCAAGTCAGGCCTCTAGGTGATAATTAAAGGTTTCTCAGCAGAACCCCTGATGTGGTCCCAATCATCAGCTTTGTGTGCTCTCTTTGTGTATTTGTATCTCTCCCTCAGTGTTTTTCTTGAGTAATTTATTACCTTCAGATGTTTTGGATATTATTGTCTGGTCTTGGAGGCCTGCCTCGGGAGAGGGAGATGGGGCTTGCCCACCGCAGTATTTCCTCACTTCATATTCACAGGTAAATGGCAAGTGGCAAATGCACATTATCTGAGCAAACATAATTAGCAAAAAAATATGTTCCTTCATGCATGCTGTTAAACTGCCTGTAGCGGAGAAAGCCACTTGCAAAGGGCACTTCCAAGTCTTGATAACCAACAACACATTACCATAAGGATGCTGATGTTTCAGAGTAAACTGTGTCGTAACTAACTGTTGTACCTCTCTTCCAAGGACTTTGTGGTAGCTCTGTCAAGCCAACAGGCCTGCTGACCTCAGACAGTGCCAGTTCCAAATCCTGTTCTCTAGGCACATTATCTAGATGTGTTTATAGCTGAGGGAAATGTCTGAACACTTGGCAGATAAAGACAGCCTCCCCACAGGTGACTCAAACATACTCCAAGTGTGGAAGTCATGTTGGCCAGTGAATCTTATTCCCATGCAGGCAGGTATCGGCTCTGAATGCAAGAGCTGGTGGGCATTTCTAGCACCGGGCTGAGACTTACCATTGCATCAGCTTTGTGCTTCAGCCTCCTCACCTCTTCAATGTAGTATTCCACTGGGCACTGTCTGAATTGGAGACAGAGAGATGAAAAACAGAGAAAGAGGGTAGAAGAATGATGAGTTTTACCTTCCTATCTAGAGGAAGATTTTAGGGGAAAAGGGAAATGCTCCCTACCCACCCACACATACAAATCTCTTTTCTGGACTGGCCTTCGCACCTTTCACCCCTCTAAAAATTTGGGCCAGTCTGAGAGGAAAAGCCCATAGGCCCTGAGGCATCTTAATGTTGAACAACATGCTTCTGGAGCCC